AAGCTGAGGAAGCTAAGTCCAGAAAGATTATATTATTTAACCAATGTCAAACACGTGGAGTGTCAGAGCTGGGATTTGAACTCAGATCCTCTGACTCTAAATCCAGCTTGCTACTATACTACACTCTAAGAAATATTTAAAACACAGCAACCAAGAGCCCTGGATTCACTTTGTATTTATTTTGTAAAGGATGTAGTGAGAGAGTCGGCCTCAAAACCAGGAAAACCTGGGTCTTTGAATAATACTGGCTGTGTGATGTCATGAAATTTCTCAGCGCTCTAGACAGCGCTCTCTCTCTCTCTCTCTCTCTCTCTCTCTCTCTCTGTGTTTCTCTGTGTCTCTCTGTTTCTGTCTTTCTCTGTCTCTCTCTTTCTTCTTCTCTCTGATTCTTTCTCTCTTCCCTCTCTCTGTGTTTCTGTGTCTATGTGTCTCTCTGTGTCTCTGTCTCTCTCTGTCTCTGTCTCCCCCCCACCCCCGCCCCTTCCCAACTCTCTTAAGACTAGGTATTACAGAGAAGGTGCTGACTTTCATTGGTAAAGGGAGTTTCCTCACCTGGGAGCAGAGGTATGCTGTAGCCAGCTCCAATTAGCTTGCTCATCCATCCATTGTTAAATTTCCAGTATAAGTATTTACACCTCAGAAACCAGCAAAAGCTACACATTAGGGTTTGATGTATTGTTTACTGATTGTCTATCCTTACTAAAGTGATGGAGAAAATGTTTATAATGCAAATTAAGCTTAAAAATGAGTCATGTCCACATCCTCCCTTCAGAGCCATTTAGTGGTTAAACATTTACCACTACACCTGCCTAAGAGTTCACTAAACCAATGAAATCACAGGTCCAGTATCTAATCTATTATTCTGGATGCAACTTTTATTTACTTATCTATTTACATGTTGTTTCCCACAGCTAAGAACCTTCTTTCTGAAGGCAGACCTTCAGTTTAGAGAGAAATGAGAGCAAGTAATGCTGTGGAGAAAGTATGTTTGATTCCCAACCCTGTTACTTGCTACCTCTGAAAGCCAAAAGAATCAGTTTGGATTTTGAAAGCTGAATTTAGAGTCAGAAGACCTGAGTTCAGATCTCAGGTCTGACACTTAATACCTGTTTGATCTTGGGTAAACTCTCCGGACCTCAATTTCTTCATCTGTAAAAATGAGAGGCATTGGACTAGACGACTTCTAAGATAACTTTCCAACTCTAAAACCATGATGCTTAGCAGGAAAAGATATCCATACATCTTCCTAATGACAGAATTTCCTCCCTGAGGGTAAAAACCCTGCATTTATCTAATATAAATGGTCAGCTTAAACTGTCCAAGACTGACCAAGTTCAAGGACAAAAAAACAACAACAACAACAAAAAACATTCTCCTTGTTCCTGTTGCCCTCTATGCCTGTGGGCTATTAATCTGGCCCCTTGGAAGTACCTTTCTCTGAGCCTGTCTTGGCACATACCTCAAAGCCAGAAAGACCAAAATTTGACTGTCGGCAGCTGAAGTTGACTACGGCACCCAGCCATAGTTACTGCTAAGAAGTATATTCTGAGCTCCATAGCCACTGACTGATTGATACCCACCACAGCTGACCCAATAATGATGAAAACATTTAGACCTATTCTTGCAGGGGACTTTCGGTCTTCTCAGGGAAGTATCAAAGAATCATAGCTGTGGAGACTGAGTCCCACCTCGTTTTACACATGAGAAAATGGATGCCCAGGGAAATAAAATGATTTGCCCAAGGTCACATGGCAATTCTGCCATTTGTGTACATATGTTTGTACATACATATACACATTTCCATCACAGGCCAGGCATTTAGCTGTATCCAGTTCCAGGTCATTGGGCAGTGTGCTTGGGCACCCTGATAAATGACCATCCCAGCTCCCCAGGAGGGTGCAGCTTCTCAGCTGCTTTGTCTTAAAAGTTCCTGAGAGTATGGGGTAGTATAAAAAGCTAGATTTGGAGTCAAATGACCTGGGTTCAAGTCCCACCTCTGAAATCTGCTGGCTGTGTGACCTTGGGCAAGTCATTTAAACTTTTTGCCTTAGTTCCCTCAACTGTAAAATGAAGGAATTCAACTCAATCACCTCTAAAGCCACATCTAGTTTTAAATCTATGATCCATTTGGGATCAATTATAATATTCTATAGGGTAGCTAGATGGTGCACTGGATAGAGCACCAGATCTGGAGTCAGGAAGACCTGAGTTCAAATGTGGCCTCAGATACTGTGACCCCAGGCAAGTCACTTAACCCTGTTTGCCTCAGTTTCCTTATTTGTCAAATGAGCTAGAAAAGGAAATAGCAAACCACTCCAGTATCTCTGCCAAGAAAACCCCAAATGGGGCCACAGAGTCAGACACATCTAAAAAGTGACTAAACAAAACACAATATTCTATACTGTTATTTTTCAGATTTTTTAAATATCAGACTTGTAATTTTGTTGATATAGTGAAACTCCTTCTACCACAGCAGACCAATACCAGCTTTGTAACTTTTAGTCTTAGAGAGCTAACTGCTGCACAGAGAAGTTAAGTGACTTGCCCAAAGTCACACAGCAGGCAGGTATCAAAGGGACTTGAACCCAAGGTGTTCTAAAGTCAATCCACACTACTCCAAGCTGCCTTAGATGCAATGCTCACAGCAAACCTAACATAAGGGAAGCTCACAGCACTATGTAAATGTGTTTATTATTATCACAAGCTTAAAAAGTAATTTTTTTAAATAAGGGTGTTGGAGAAGAGAGTTATTTTGGTAGAGTTTAGTAAGAAAATACCTTTCTGTTCTGAGCTGCTCAACAAATCCTAGATTTGGAGGAATCAAATTTGTTTCAAAGTAAACCCAGGAACTGACACTGGAAATTCCCACTTCAGCTGAAGACAAATGTCAAAGGGTGAATTATTTATCTGTCCCCTCTTGGCTGCAGTTTTAGGCAGAATTTGCCTGCTGAGAACAGAGCTGTCTCTGGCAAAGATGGAGCATGCACAGGTGCGGTGATGCAGCTGCTGCTCACACACGCAGAGAAGGATCAGCTCCTTCACCTCGCTAGCTCCCGAACTCCCCGCCATGGCTGGGTTTCTGTGATATCTGTCTTGCTTTATAGATGGAAAGTTGGAGAGTCACAATTATGCTGCGGATCCCCACTCCCTCTGAGAGAGTAGGGGTAGGGGGCAAAACCTGAGACAGATCACAGCCTACATTGTCCTGGATCTATCACTAGTTAGCTGTGTGACCTTGAGGATGTCAGTGGGCCTCAGTTTCCTCACTCATAAAATGACTGGGCTGGAATATGTTACCTTTGAGGCCCCTCTCAGTTTTGACATCCTAGAATTCCATGTTTGCAATGAAAGATAACATCGGTGATACTCAGCTGGTCAGTTCCCCTTTGGAATTTCAGTGGCACTGGAGCTTAGGGATTACTTTATGAAAATCTGGTGAAGCAGTGTAAGCAGTGGAAAGGGCACACTGTACGTCAAAGGACCTGAGTTTAAATTCCCATTTGCCTATCATTACCTATATGACCTTGAGCAAGTCACTTAACTCTCTGGGCCTCAGTTTCCTTATCTGGAAAATGAATGGGCTGGGCTATGTGAGCCTCAAGGCCTCTCTTGGCTCAGACTAGCAACATCTAAATAAACCTGAAAGGCAACATCAGCTATAACTAGCCTGTCAAGTCCCTTCTGGAATCTCAGGACCACTGAAGTGGAGGCGTGGCTTTGTGAAAATCTAACCACAAAGGTGATGCCACTAAGTCCCGATCCCAAAGTGTGAACTGTCCACAGGGGCTTTAGTATTACAAGACCTCTCACTGCCCTACCCACCCTCAACTTCTTTCTGCAGCTAGAGCTGTGGATGGAAAAGCATCCTCCTGGAGAGCAAAAGTGTACCCTGCCTCTCCCCTCTCCCTTCCAAGGTTGAAGGTGGGCTGGAGAGGGGGGGAGGGAATATTTCTCAGAATCTTAACTCTCCCAAGCCGACTGTACCTTCAAAATTCACCCATAAGAGATGAAAGTGACATTAGAGATCATGATATGAAAGAAACATTTTACAGAGGAGAAAACTGAAGCTAGGAGAGGCAGTTGTCCAAGGTCACACAGTTACTTGGTGGCAGGTCTAGGACTCGGGTCTCCTGATTCTGAGTCAAGTAGACTTTTTCACTTTAGTGCCAGCTGAATAAAACAGCCTGACCGTTAAGTATTTGTTTATTTACACACACACACACACACACACACACACACAAACACACACACACACACACGACATCCTTCTACCCCACCAATGAGCGCACCTCTAGTCACAAACGTGGTGTTCCTGGGACGCTTAAAGGTTCTGCAGGGCATCTTCACCTTTCCCAGTCAAAGACGGCAGTGTTATCTTTTCCAGGAAATGGAATAACAGAAGAAGCACTCTAAATACATACACAAACACACATGTGAATCCAGAAACACATGGGCACACAGACACATACACAGAGATGCACAGACACATTACGGACACTGAGCTACAGGCACATGGAAACACATATATACGGAAGTCATGTGGACGTGAAGCAACACGCAGGTACATGCCGACCCACCGAGGGCCAGAAACCCTTAGAGACAGGAACAAGCACACACACACACACACTCATGCATATACACACACACGGAGATGCAAAGGTACAGGCTTGCACAAGCAAGTGGATTCTCGGGGACTTGGAGACACACACACATCGAGACCCATAGACCCACAAACATACGGAGATGTCTCGTAGGGGGTGTGCATGGGCTCATCTTACTCCTGGCTCGGGGCTCAGCTTCCTCAGAAGCTCTGCGGATAGGGGTGAGGGGCCGGGGTTTCAAGAACCAGGTGCGCTCAGCTCCTGGACGCCTGCGGGGCAGACACACAAGCGCGCGCAAACACACAATACACACACACAGACAGACACACACTCGCGTGCCCCAAAATACAACCTCGCCTCGTCCTGCTCTTGACGCATCTTCTAGTGACTGCTACTTACCCGCGGCTAGGCGCGCCGGTTTCCCCTGATCCTGCTAGGGAGCACAGCCATCCCCACTTATACCTTCCCGGGCACAGTCGGCTCTGGACCGAGCAAACCTAGCGGCGCAGGGTGCGCGCAGGTCGCCAGGGCTAGGGATACTCAGGCGAGGGACGATCTCCCGGCAGCTCGGGCGGGGCGCCAGGCGGGGCACCCTCGGCAGAAGCCAGGGACTCACTGCAGCTTCTGCCTCCGCAGCCGCCGGCTAAGGAGCCGCCGCCGCCCCTCCCAGCCCGCCCCAAGTCAGGCAGCGCGCACCAACAGAGTCCTGCGCGCCGCCTCGCGGCCGCGCAGAGAACTAAAAATTGGGGGGGGGGGGACCGAGATGCGTGGAATAGGTCCAGGGTACTGAACGCGAGTGGGAGTCGAGGGAGATAGGCAGTATCTTTCCCGTGCATAGTATCTAGTAATGTGGGGAGAGGCCTGGCAGTCCCCATCCCTCACAATCTGGCAACATCCTATCCTTCCAGATAACCTCCTATTATTTCCCTCCACGAACTCTACACGCCACTCTCCCCAGACTGAACTCTCTATCTTCCCAACATACTGTGGCCTCCCAGCCCCCCACCCCATCCCCTCTGGTCATGCTTCCCTACGTCTAAAATATCCTACTTCCTCTTTTACTTGCTGAATTCCTTCTTAACTCGAATGCCGCCTCCTCCAGCGGGCTGGGCCCGACGCTCACGGTAGGAAAGGACCTTTCCTAGCTCAGTCCTCACCTGCCTTTCCCAAATATTTATAATGTAATGTTGCGTATTACAGTTATTGCTGAACCGGGTGCCTTATTCCCCCCAGTTGCCTTGGCAAACTCAATGAAGGCAGGGACTTTATCCATTTAAATGGTGTCTCTTTGCCCCCAGCATTTAGCTCAGTGATCTGAATACGGCGGTCACTTGATCTTCGTTGAATGTAGAGTAGCTCGCTAGACCCTGGGGAGAGGGAAAGGCTGGAACTGGGGGTCCTCTTAGTTGTTACGCTTCCACTGATCTCCAGCAGTAGGGTTCCTGCAGCTCTGTTCCTCAGGCTTTTCCTCCCCCCAGACCAGGGAGTTAGTCCTAACCTTGAAAGGTCCAGACCAGAAATGAGAATGGGGGTGGGAGGAGAGAACAGCTAGGCTGTCCAGGGGCCCTTTGGCCTGGGGCTCCATAAAATCTCAAAGTATTCTCAGAGGCTGCTGAATAAAAGGAAAAAGATAGGAAAAGCAGAGCACAGATAGGAAAGCAGTTGAAGCACATTAACTCTACGGTATATTGGAATTTGGTTCTTTGAGAAAATAAGGTTCAGCATGCTTAGCTCAGGCTAAGTGACCTGACCGACGTTGCCAGGCAGCAGGTCAGTTGTTTCACTGATCCAGGGTCACAAACCACAGTAGACTTTTCTGGGGAGGCAGAAAGAATGGGTTAGTGCAACTAGTCTATCATATGATTGCTGGGAAATTACTCCAAGCCCATGGAGGGAGGGAGTTAAGTTGGTACAAACAGTGCCCAAGGCAAGTACACCCTCAACTGAAAGAGTGAGGCAGAGCACCACAATGTGAATTGAAGTAGAGGTCCTATGACATATGAAAAAGTAGGAGAGAGGAACAGAGTGGGATATGAGAGGAATTAATCCCACCCCTCCCTTGGGCAGCTTCCCATTCTCACTCATTATTCTTGCTATGGAGGCCCTAGGCTCTGTTGCTTCACTGTTACTGAAGCAACAAGTGCCATCTGCACCCTCTAAATTTGATGGTCCCTAAATTCATCACCCTGGGACAAAGACCTAGTCTTTTCACCCTAGTTACATATTTGCTCTTCACCATCGAGGGGAAGACACTTGGGCAAAGGGAGAGTCTTAGCAGAGATGCCCCTGGCTACAAGCTTGTGAGATATAGGAAATGGATGCTTCCTTTCTTCAAGGCACATCAATGTCCCTTCCTGAGTGTTAGGGAAAGGCTAAAAGAAGGATCTTCTCTGCAGGAAGTCACACTTAGGCCAGGACTGGGCAAGTCCTCAGCCCAGGCCAATTTGGAAAGCCTAGGGCTGGAATGAAGGAGAAATCGGTTGTAACCCAAGATGCAACACTAACTAGCTGGGTATCCTGGGCAATTCATTTTCTCTCTCTAGACTTCAATATCTTCTCCTGAATATTGAAGGAGATTGGACCAGATAGAATTTCAGATCTCAACACACAGTACTATAATACAAACTAGGAAAGGAAAGCCTAGATGAGTTACAAAGGAGATGCTATGGGGAATTTTGAAAAATCCCAGCTGGAAGGGATCAAGGATGGCTTCAAGAAAGAGGGAGAATCCAATGTGGGCCTGCAAGGATTTGAATGCAGCAGATAAAGAGCCCTTTGAAGGATTTACTACCTGACCTTTACTTTCTCTGTCACCAGATGATACTGAATAACTGTTTAGGAATACATTCTGAATATAACCCAGTTAACTGATCCCTATAGCTACAGATCCCCAGCAGACCCAGTAGCCTGCCCTGACTGCAGAGACAGCCCTATCTCCTAAAGGGCTTTGTGCAGGGCAAGTTTTTTTAAAATCATTTTCAAGAGATCTTCTGCATAAGAAACATGATGTCTTCACATATTTCTCTCTGTTTCAAGGGGCCATTATCATTTGAGAATGAAATTGCTTTGTGGCCCAATGAAAACATTTCCTTTCCTTCAGTTATTTACCGGACAGTCTGACCTGAGTTCTTTTGCTAGCTGACTCGCGCTACTCCTAAACCAGGGAGTATTTCACAGGATAACTGGTGCAGGTAAAAATGGACATGTTCTTTCACTAAAACCTAAACTAGAAATGGAAAGACCGACAACAACAACAAAGAAAACAAAGCTGAATGCTAACTTGGTCTTGAAAAAAAGAAGCAACAAGATACTTCCCTCCCTTCTTTGCCGAGGTGGGTGGCTCTGGGTATGGAACACTGCATACTACCAGACTTGGTTGATATGTTGGTTAGCTGCGCTGAATTGCTTTTTTTCCTCTCTTTTTCAGTCTTTGTTCTAAAGGATGACTCACTGGGTGGCAGAGGGGAATATATTCAGAAATGAAGGTTTTGTGAAAACAGAAATATCAAGCATTTTTAAACTTAAAAAATAAAAACCACGGGGTACCAGAAGGAGGTGAAAAGAGTGTGGCTCCAGGAATCAGAAGTTCCTGGTTCTGGCATAAACTTTCTGTGACGATGGGAAAGTCTCTGCCTGTGCCTGGGGCCTCAGTTTTCCTTTTCCATCTCTCTGAATATGCTTGAACTCATCTCAGTGGGTTTTATCAGTTCTCCTATTTGTACATAATGGCATGTTTTCTTCTTCCCCATTAGACCTTGAGCTCCTTGAAAACAAGCACTGTCTTTGCCTTTCTTTGTATCCCCAGCTCTTAACACAGTGCTTGGCAAATAGTAGGCACTTAATAAATGCTTGTTGCTTTGGCTCCTAGCTCCCAGTGGAATTGTGTGGGAAACACCCAGCTCACTTATCTATTGACTGCACACTTCTGGGATATCCTGTGTGTCTGTGCTGTCTTTCGTGTTAACAGAGACTAAAACAAGCAAAGAATTATGACCTCTCCCCTTCCCCTCCCATCATCCCCTCTACCCCAGGATGGGTGCAGAATACTAACAATGGGCCTTGCAGCTCACTCAGAGAGAGCATGAAGCTACTGAGGACAAGATCAAAAGCTTGAAACCTGAAGAGTTCAGCTGGATTAGTTCAAAGGAAGGACAGTCCTTGGCATGGCTCCAAGATGGATGCTGCTGGTCACAAAGGAGATAGTGTTGGGACTATAACTGGTTCGGCATAACACTTCTGAGCAATCTAAGTACAGTGGAAAGAGCCTTGGCTATAAAGTCTGAGGACCTAGATTTGAATCTCCAGTTCCTTCCTACCTTGGTGACCTTGGCTTAGTTATTTCACCTCTCTGGGTCTCATTTTCTTCATCTGCAAAATGAGGGGATTGGACTCTAAGGATCTTTCCAGCTCTAAATCTTTGCTTTCTGTGTTGGCAGCAATATTCTCCAGAACAACTGCATCCCTGGGAGCTGGTGCCAAGAGTGCATTGGGGGTCCCCTGTGCAGCATTGGCACCAGGAGCTTGTGGAGACAAGAGGAGCCATGGGTACCTGGGGCTGCCAAAGCTTCTCCAAGATATGCAGCACCCACACAAACCCATCCCAGCTGGGGGAGGAGGGAACTTACCAGTGCAACTGTCAAGGTGTCCAATGAGCCCCTCCCCCACACTCCTAACCCTCCCTCAGCCCACCACCACCCCAGGCCTGTGCCTTGGAAGTAGAACCCTAGAGAAAGAAGTGAGCTTGGCTACCCATTGTTCAGACATGCAGTGAGCTCCTGACCTAAAAAGCTCTCAGCATTACTCACTCCACACAAGTACACTGTGTTCTCCGGGTGTCCAGAATAGGGGTAGGGGTGCTTAATCTTGTTTTGTGTCATGGACCCCTTTGGCAGAATCCTTGATGAAACCTATGGACCCCTTCTCGGAAAGACATATATATATATATATATACACACACATATACATATACACACACACACACGTATATGTGTATACATGTATGTATGTATATGTGTATAGGTACATGTATATATACACACATGCACACAGATACACACATGTGTGTGATATATACATGCGTGTATATGCATACATGTATGTTTGCATGCATATGCACACTATATATACATATGTATGTGCATACATATTTATGTGTATATATACATATGTGTGTATGTGTGTATATATTTCAAATCTGGCCTCAGACACTAGCTGAGAGATCCCGGTCAAATCACATAGCCCTGTTTGCCTCAATTTCCTCCTCTGTAAAATGAGCTGGAGAAGGAAATGACAAACTACTCCAATATCTCTGCTGAGAAAACCCCAAATGGAATTATAAAGAGTTTGACGTGACGAATTGATTAAATAACAACAACAAAGACAGATTATACGTAGAGATATAGTATATGGAGATAGAGACTTTCTTTTTTTATTTTATTTTCTTTTTTTTTTAAATTTTTTTTTCCATATGCTTTTGAGTGAAAATTTTTTCTCCCTTTTTCTCCCCCTTACCCTCCCCAAGACGGTGCACAATCTGATATAGGCTTTACATTTACATACCCATTAAACATATTTTCACATTAGTGAAGTTGTAAGTAAAAATTAAAACCAACAGGAGGAACC